GCCCTTCAGAGACCAGGACCTGGAATTTGGGGGCCTGGGAAAGAATGGCACCACTTTCGGGGTCGGCTGCTGAACCTGGCCCTACCGGCCTCGCCCTCCCCAGCACCCCATCTTTCTTGTGCCCTGCCCCATAGCCTCTGGTCATCACTTAGCTACTGATCACGCCCCTCGGCTTGAATGGGGAGGGGAGGGCGAGTGCCAGCCCGCTCCCCAGATGCTCTTGGCTCTGCTGTGGCCCTGGGGGTTTTACTTTCAATAATTCCTCCTCCCCTTCCTCTCTACCTTTTTTTTTTTTTAATATACTTATTTTGCTATTGGGGGGGAATATCAAATGAACAAGATCACTTTTAAATGGTAGTTTTTATAAGATGTTATAAACTTGTATCTTTTTACCATTAAAGTACAGTGTATGTTCCTTCGTGATATATTTAGAATATTTAAATAAAAAGAAAATGGGGTTTTTCTATATACTCTCTCCTCTTTGGGGATAATACCTGTTGCAGGAACTTTTTCTTTTTTATTTTTTAAGGTTTATTTATATATACAGAACTGGGGTGGGGGCGGGGAGGAATCACCAGAGCCAGAGCGGGGAGCAGAACAGGCAGGCAGTTCTACTGAAATCCACTGCGGAGGGGAGCAGCGGGGAGACAGGAGGAGTCTGCTGCGCCTGGGGGTCAGCTCGCAGGGATCAAGCTCGCACCGAGGGGCTGCTGCTGGTTTGCAGTGCTGCGCCTGAACCCACTGCGCCGCCAGGGAGGGCCGGGAGCTGCTTCACTCAGACCAGAATCTTGCTTTTTTTCCTGCCAAACATAGCCACCCCACAATTTCTCCTACCCTACAAGTGGCCATGTCGAAACACAGGCGCCCACAGAGGAGGGGTAAGTGGAAGTAAGCGCTGTCAGCGTCAACTCCCAAGACACGGGCAGGCTCAAGCTGAAGGGTGGGGGTGCAGGTGCTGGCGGTGTCGCTGGGATGCGGTCAGTGTCCCCTTGCGAGCGTCGGCCTGGCCCTGGGAGTCCGCCCCCAGCTACTGCGGCAGCCGCCTTGCACGCTCAGGCCCATGGACCCGGCGCGGGTGGCAGAGGAGAGCGGAGCTGGCTGGGGGACAGGACAGCGGTTCTCTGAAGGCTGTGGTGCAGTCTGAGGGGTAAGCTGGCGCTGGGGCGGGGGGGCGCCAGGCTGCGTCCTGAGAGACCCACGTCTCCCACAGGGGCCCGAGGCGTGTCCCTCCCTCCTCAGGAGAGGGCAGACTCTGCTGCTTGAAAGCGGGGATTGATGGTGGTGGTGATGGCGCTTCTGTAGAGAGGATTTCTTTCCTGGGGAAAGAGGTGGGACGCGGTGGGGAACAGTCCTTTCCCCAGCTCCAGTGAGCCAGCGGCAAGCTTGGGCAGGCCCCGGGGCCAGGCGAGGGCTGCTGGGAGGGGAGGGGCTGGGCGACGGTTTGCTGAGTGGACAGAGGAGACCCAGGCCAAGTCGGGCGGGAGGCAGAGAGCAGAGAGGACTTATCGGGGAGCCAGCACCCCTCGCTCCCCAGTGTCTGGCTCCTCACCTGCCGCCAGCTCAGCTGCTGCCACTCCCTCTCGAAGCGCTGGTACTCCCTGCGGTCGTAGATCTCCACCGAGAGGCGGTAAGCCAGCACCACGACCAGCCCCACTGCCACGATGCCCCCTATGCTGCCCAGCACGACCGTCTGGGTGTCGAATGCCGCCTCTGGGAGGAGACAGCCAGGCTGGGAGCTGCCGCGTCCCTGCGCAGC